AAGTATTGAAAAACAAAAAAAATCATTCAAGCAAAGGGGGTAGTCCAGCAAGCAGCTTTCTGACATTATTTAGGGGGGGCCCCTAGAATAATGTCTAGAGATTTGAGGCTTTAAATCTTTATTCCTGTTCTTTGCCTTTTGATTTGCTTTACTTACCATTGAAATTGCAGGTCTTTGGATTCAGATTTCCATTGAAATTTAAAAAGTTAGTTCTATTCCATTTGATTCATTCCCTTTTATTGTAATTAATATTCCAGATGTCTTCAAAGTTAGGAATTCTTATTTCCTTTTAATTTAATATTGCCAGAGTAGCTCCAGAGGTAGCTAGCTAAGGATTCCTTATTTAATTATCAACTGATTGATTTTCTTATACATTATTTTGGAGGCCTTGGCTGTTGAGGGGGGGGGTTTATAAATCAAGGGACTACATTAGTGTTTATAGTTGCAGGAGTCCACCACGGGGAAGGCGAAAACGCTTCGTGTGCACTTGTTCAAATCCCGTGACTCAGGGAGGCTGGGCAGACTTCTTTGCAAGGTGATTGATTGGCTTCCAGTGGGTAGAGCTCTCAAGCCGCCACATATTCCGTCATATGTTTGTCCTAAGATAGTATCAGATAGTGATCATCCATCTCGGGAGCTTAATATGTTTCTGAAGAAGAACCACGGGCAAAAACGATTGGATGCCCTAGCTCCCACAAGTGAAGATCTTAAGGTTAAGGTGATTATTACCCCAAGCCCCAAGCCCTCGTTGGCCAAAAATTGATCCAGAAACCAGGGCTCGGACCATCTCGAAAGCTGCCAACGCTGGCCACAAAGCTGGCTGAGATGTCCTTTGTGCTGTTCATAGGACTCAGTCCTGTCACTACATGTATGGTATGGTTTGCACCGATTTGATGCAAACTCCTGCGGGCATCTACTGATAGGTGTTTTGGAATGTCGAATAGGCCAAATGTCTTACTTGGCAGAAGCCAAAGCTATGCTTCCTGCCCTCTGCCAGTGCCAGTGGATTTAGAGTAATTAGTTACTGTAGTGCACGCATGTGTAGGCATTGGGTTTCCTTGTTGATGCTGACTTTAGCAGGGCACTTTGTGCCTTTCTTTTGGCACCGGTAGAGTGCCAGTGAGACGAACCAGGGGCAACAAATGCCACTGGCATCCCAGTTGCAGCTAGCAGCTAGCAGCCACCTTGGTGCAGAGGAGACATAAAAACGGCCAGTGGACTTGTTCGGACAAAGAACAATAGGTGTCGATCATGTCCAGTTCAAAATGCAGCGCCTGGCCTGAGATGATATGTAAAAGCTACCGAAACTAGCTAGCTTCTTGACCTAATTTGGCCTGGCCTGAGATGATATGCAAAAACTAGCGAAACTAGCTAGCTTCTTGACCTAATTTGGCCTCCAACCGAGAAAAACAAATAACAATGATACCCGACATGGAGTTGGAAAACCACCTGGCGGTAGAGGAAAATGCATAGCCACTAGTCGACTTTAGCAATGCGTTGAGTAGGAAAAAGCTGAGCCAACAGGCCCGCACGAGAGTTTACAGATCGCTAAATGCTTGAACCTAGAAGCATTTGGTGGTTACACTGATTACACTCATGCTGATGGCATCAATCCTGGACACACATATCAATCGGATGCAACAAGGCTGAGACAAAACTAGAGCCAGAGCATTGCTTTGTTGCTTGTATTTGTTTGCATTGTGTGGCATTGTATTGCCGAATTGTGGGAAGCAACGCGCGCAAACGAACAACTGCATGATGGACTTCCTGAGAGGCGGGAACGGGAACTTTCAGAGACCTTTGCATCATACAAGTGAGGTGATTTTGACTCAGAATGCAATTGATGAACTTTTCAGTGTCATAGCTAGAAATCAATTGCAGGCTTGTCCTGGTTGCAGCACAGGTGGGGCCGAGAGTAAATATTTTGGGACTTGGGAAGTGTGTCAAGATCACATCATTGATTGAGACGGCCCACGGCCATGTGCAAAGGCCAACCTTTGCGGTTTTCGTTGCCCAATTGCTCACAGTAGATCCTGTCACGTTTTTGTGTCCCAACGATTTCCTCACTGTGGCTACGCAAACTGGATCATTATCGCCTCAGCTTTTCGTGCCCACCAATCTTGCTTCGTTCCTCGCACGGTCCTCTTGCCTCACACTACTAATACAAGCAAGATGCCTGGACAGGCGACAGGCATAGCAGTATATGGGAAATGAACGTATATTGTATACTATATAACCAATGTGTGCTTGTTACTTGTATATTATGCATATGTACACATACAGGTGCACACATGATGTACCCATCATACTCAAGAACATATCCATATGCCGTTTGGCGAAGAGGTTGACAATCTCAAATCGCTCAGCGCTGCCTAAGCACCACCGTCACAGCCGTTTCCTCGATGGAGCTTGGCGAGTCTCAAGAGAATGGGATCAAGGCTGATGATGGGAATCCAGAGACTGCGGTGATTCTACTTCAATTCAAATTACGTTTTGTTATATTTATTTATTTTTTGTTTCTATTAGCTTCTGGTTCCCTATATAGTAAGGCCAGGAGCCCCTAGTAGCGTCCTTGCTCCTAGTAGCGATGCCCTTTGTTCCTAGTGCGTGTTTTTTCTAAGTAGCTATCCCAAGCTGAAGCCGATGCCGCTGAAAGTCTCATACCCTTATAGCTAAAGGATCTCCTTGGATAATGACTTGTCCCCAGGCTCATGCGACATGTTCATCGCCCCACTGTTTAGCATGCCGGGCTTAGTCTTGAGAAAGCTGTTTGAAAGCCAGTCAGGGTCACAGGCTAGTCTGCCTTGCCAATTGTCCAGCAATATAGGCCGTCCTTGCTTGGAAGATGAATATCTCTTGAGATTCGGCTGCGGGGATTTGCCCTTCTGAGTGTTCCTCTCAGGACACCGAGAGCTGCAAGGGCATCGCGAATGACCACAGCGCTGGTTGGCCATTTGAAGGTCACGACAAATTGATGGCGTTGGATGATGTTGGTGGGGTCCAGAATTCTGGGAAATCCAACGCATGAACTAGGTCCATGCCAATATCATATATTCTTTTTGTTGCCCGCTGAAGGCTCAGCTTTGGCAAGAACACGACGCGTTTCAAGCACTCCGGCATGATTTGGGATGCATGTTTGTGGATGCATGGAATCGCATACAAGCTTTGCTGTCGGCTTTTGTGCCGGCAATGTTGGCTTTTCGATTGAATGATAAAGAGTGCCCTCAAATCAATAGCCAAGCCATGGAGCTGCATTAAAGCACCTGTCAAGTTTCAATGCGTTGCTGCCCAGGTTTCAAAGCGAACTACCAGAAGGTAGGATACATTTGTTTTGGAGGGCTTTGCGCACAACCATGGACCATGACGCTTGCAGAACATGCTTGCTGATTTTCGGCGTTGTGTGTACAAGTTTAAATCACAAGTTAAGTGTCCCTGAAAATCATTGTGCACGAGCTATCCTGCGTCCTGTCGGTAGCTATCTACCTCTAGCTACTACCTACCTAGCTACCTTAGCGGCCTACCCCCCGCCCCCCCAACCAAAACAGCATATGTTCATTCATAGTTGATGGGCGATAGGGTGTTCGGCTTTCAGTTCAGAGCTCCAGAGCTCCCAGCGTCACCCCATTCACGTTCACAAACATTTGCAGATTTGGTGGCCGTGCACTGCAGCCATAGGCTGCTGAGACCGCGGAAAAATGGCGCAGTCTAAGAGCAGATGACTGGGATCCGATGATGGCAGCTTCGCTGCAGAAAGGATGGGGAGACTCTGTAGCATCAGTTGCTTGTGTACACCGATGCACTCGTCCAGAAAGAATGTTGAAAGATGTGAAGGGCATGCACCCAATATGCGGGCCTCGGGCCTGATGTGTTGTTCATTCAAGGAGTTTTGGGATCTATTGGGAGGAAGAACTCACGGCAATGACATTTGTCCCGGGATGTGGGAAGAATTCAATCAAACAATGCAAATATGCAACAATCTTCACTCTCCAACTTGGTACCTATAGTTGTTCCTGATACCAACTTGCTACACTGCTGTATTTAGATATGTTTGGATTTACACTTGTACAAGTCCAGTACCCTTCCTGCTTCAGTACTGACAAGCGGTTCGGCCAACATGATGGAGCAATGGAGTTCATAGATGTTCATACACGTTGATTCATATTAAGGTTGGAGGCCATTGGGCCATTGGAGGCCGTGGCTATCAGGTTGGAGGCCATCGTTATTTGGGTTGGAGGCCATTGCGTCTAGGTTGGAGGACATCGCTAGTAGGTTCCTTGTGCTATTAGGTTTCATACATGTTGATTCATACTGCCGCAGCGCCCATGATCGTCCAAGACTCCATGTGGCCCAGGTGCGGCTCTTCTCGCGCTGGTACTTGGGTTGTTTGCGCGAGCCATTTCGCGCTTGAGCTTCGTGACGGCAGTGACTCCAATTGGACATAGCTACGTACAGACTGCTGATTCCAAAGCTAGCATGGCAGCGTCTTGATGACATTATGTCATAGAGCCTGCTAGGTGTTCGCTTACGGTTACACGGCATATATTGTTACTGCTGTATCATTGCACAGAATCAGGGTATTGCGACATGCTGTGCCAGACTCCAAAAAACATACACACATATGTGTGTATATATAATACATGCATAATGATGCATGCAATAGTAGTGAGTATTGCTTGTGAGAGATTGATGATGTTTTGTTGCTTATGAAGGTCATGGATCGTGGTAGCTCATGGTGGCCTTGGATCCCTTGGAATCAAAATCCGGATCCAAATGGGTCCAAGGAGGTCCAAGGCCATCGCCTCGAGTGACTTGAGCGGTCAATGGCGGTCAATGGGGCTTGGCACTGCCTGTACAGAGCTCCAAAACTGTTGAGCGTACTGAAGATCAGGCGCATCGATTCGTCGATTTGACCCGAGGATGCGTGAGACTCGGAAAGAAAGACTGCTACTGCTAAAGGACTTGAAGCTGATCAATCTTGATGATCACCAAGCCTTCATTTTAAACGGGTGGCCGCAAAAAGAATTGCCTGCCAGGATGAGTTTTTGGCAATGAGAAACATTTGATAAAATTTGTGCGGTTTCATTTTGGATGGACTCACAGAGGCCCCCGATCTAGTTTGGCAAGACTGAACTTCTGCATTGTATACATTGGTGTGGTGCTGCAAAGAGTCATTTGTGTATGTAGCGACTCGGGTCAAGCCCCGACCTCTACCAATGAGGGTCGGGGAATAGAATCAATAGACTCAATTCTTGCAGGAGGGCATGGTGACAATAAAGGGTCAGCTGGTTTCACAAAGGACATCCCCAGCAGTAAATCAGCTGACTTCAAGTGTGTGTGTGTGTGTGTGTTTGTTTGCCTTTTTCTTTGACTATTCGTCCAGGGGCAAGGACCGAGTTACTCGGTGACTCCTAGCCTTTGGACACCATGTCTTCCATGGTAATGCCGGTGTTGCTGTCACTGTGTTTCGCTTTGGCATTCTTGATCTTTTCATATATGTCACTTGACTGCTCATTGCGGCGCGAAGCTTCTTTTTGACCTCTGGTTCTCAGCACATTGAGGAGCAATGAGTTCACGTGATTCACACATATATACATATGAACATGTGTGTGGTCATGTGTATGTATAACAGTAACAATAGTAATAACAACAGTAATAGTATATATTACTTATCAACAATATTAACAAATAACTACGTATATTTATACATATCTATATATATAATTATATCATGGCAAATTTTGTGGGGCTTTTGGGTATTGTTCGTCATACGGGTTGTATCGCACCTCCAACAAAGGAGTCTTATGAAAATGGAATCCCTTATGCATGGCTTGAGGCCAGAAACACAGGACGCCTGCATTGCCGAGGCAAGAAACACAGGTCTCAGCACAGATCTTCGAGGCCGCTGGCGCAAGATTTCTGAACTCCCCTTGGCGGCAACATCCCAAGAGTACCATCTATGATGTGAGAGGTGGGAGGCAAGTCTATCAGTGGCTGGAAGCTGGGCCTGTAAAGAATACCATAGAATAGCCAAATCTAAGACGGTCATGCTTGGAAGGGAGCATGGGAAAGAGGTTTGAATGACCATTCTGAGAGGAAAAGCATGGAAGATTGCGAGCAGTGGGGCTAAGGAGCAGGTGCTCCTGGAGCAGCTCTATATGGAGACTCCAGAAGATGGAAGCCATGAGGCCTACTGCACCAAGTCGCATCCCTGCCGCTTAGGAGAGGGTCACTTGGTTGGCAAGATGCGTCCCTGCTTGGGCCTAACAGGATAATATTTTCTCACTTGGTTGGGAACCCGTGTTTATGGAAGGCCTCCACTATTGTTAGTATGCACTGGAGCTTGGGAATTTGTGAGCAAAGTGCAATCTGATCAAAGTCATGTCGCTCTATAGTTACTAGTTGCATGATGCATGTATACTGTCTAATTATATACTTGTCACCTGGGTGTGGCTTTTTTGTTCCTGAGGGATCATCTTGGAATCCTCTTGCCTCCAACATTCCACAGCATCCTAACAACCATGGCTGGACTTCTTCAGAATTTGCTAAGGTAACGCCAATTCGGACTCTGAGTGCTCAGGGCCGTTGATTGCTGGCCGTCGCAACTGCCCATCACGACTTGGGTCACTTGGTCAAGATAGTGAGGGGCAAGCGAAAGATGAAGGTGGCTTGAATCATGAACACTCTCCTTCCAACAGTCATGGAAGTGGAACATGGCCCCTGGGAAGAGTAATCCCGGAATGACGCAGTACCGTAACTCATTTAGCAGTTTTTGATGTGTTTGTGACCGTCACACTGGTTGGACCCAGTGCGCCATGCAGGAGCCGAAGAGATTGCTGTCAACAATGCGTGGGCGAGACCTGTCAAGAGCAAATTGTGCCGACCAAAGAGGTCAACTTAACGACCAATACATCTGTCGCTTGGCTGTCGATGGGAAAGGTCAGCTGAGGGATTGTGTGGGCGGTGCCGAAGCCAAAAGAACACTCTTCTTGCAGTTGTGGCATGAAGTGCCGGTGACGTGGCATTCTTGCATATTGTTGTATGTGTATGCTGCTTCGGGATAGAGCTGGGTGCCCGGGTGCTCCCCTTGCCCGGTTCCGGGCACGAAGCCAAGGTGCCCGACCTTTCGGCCAACTGCGCAGATACCTTGCCACCCTGGTTGTCCCTGTTTGCTCGCTGGCTCCTCGGCCACCAAGAAGGTGGGTAGAAGGTGAAGACAAGCAAAAAAGGTGCATTAGATGACGACTTAAGCCAGCTTCCTCTGAGCAGGGAGAGGCTGTTGTTCTAGTACTTTTGTCCTAGCATGTCCTACGTAGAACAGGCATGGGAATGTTGTGTTCCTCAACTTTATTGTGCTTGGTGTTGGTCAGTTTCCCACCGAGGGGACGACCTGAGATAGAATCCAAGGAAAACTGACGATCTCATGGACGAAGAGGATCCAGTCAATGTTAGCTTTTGCCCTGAGCGGGTGGCTTTCTTGAAGATGCATCGAGAGCAGGACGAGTGGGACACCTTTGATCATCGTGACAGATGCGGGTCTAGCGACCTAGTGTTTTGGTGGTGAGGTTTTCTCGCTGTTGGAGTGTGGGTGTGGAGCCTTGGTTGCCCAGGTGGGCACTGCGCGCCCTCGTGGCTTAATGGTGGGGCGCTTCAACCGAGCACTGATGGGACGAATCTCATTGAAACGGCGGAAGCTGCCACTCGTCTTGGCCCTTTGGTAGGTGTCTAAACTGGGTCATTCAATTTGACTCTTGATGCAGGACACCTCAAAACGTTTTTTACGGATCCGGTGGCCAGTTACAGTGACCGCTTGGCCCAGTCTTGCGGCATAAACGCATAGTGGCATAGTGCTTTCTCAGACAGTGTGGCCCTAAACAATTCCTAATCTAATCATATCTAGTCATTCAAGATAGCACATTTATTCATAACCTTAGAAGGTTTCATCAATATCGAGAGACAGAGAGAGAGGCATTCAAGAACTATGCACCGAAGCTCGCCCAGGTTGAATGCTGACTCACCAGTGTTCTCCAACGCATATGGGAAGGTGTGGATTGTACAAACATCTCTTGAGAACAGGAAGTGGTTTCAGGAAAGATTGCTGTATGCTTCTGGGACGCCTTGTGTTTTTCACAGGCAATATGTATGAAGGTCCATGTCAACTCTTGGTCTACCCTATGTTTTTCACACAGGAAAGTATTCGTCCATGAACCGGATTGACTGAGAACCGGATTGACTGAGAATAGGTGCGGTAAGGGGTTGGGCCAAGCTCCCTACAGCATTCATTCGCTGAAGCCTTAAACAGGGTTGGATCCCGAGAGGATCCCATGCAGCCACCCAGCTCTCTCTGGCCCTTCGCAGGTCATGGCAGCAGCAAAAACGGATGCTTGGAGCTACAAGCCCACTGAGGAGGACGGGGGGCAGGGAAGTTGCTTTACAGAAAAAGTTTGTTTGTTGGGCTGTCAGATGACCAACTGTCAATTGCAAATGTGCTGAAATCTTGCGCTGTACATCGCAAAGCGATTTCATCAGCCTATAACGACGGGGCAGAACGGAACTGAACAAGTACGTCTGGTTCTTTGAGAACATCAGTCAAGCTTTCCAACCTCGGGCTTTCTCCAGAGCTCCGGCGGTTCTCGTAGGACACAACTTCTTTCGGCGTCTACAACTATGGCAAAGGTGGTGGCTTCAATAGAGCTGGTGCTTTTGTGGAGATCCTGGATTTTGATAAGCCGAAGAAGGTCACCGCAAGGACTGATTACTCAAACACACTAAAAGGATCATTCAGTAGCTTTGATTGTGTTGCTGTGTTGCTCTTGTTGGTTTTTGTTTGTATTTCTTTATTTTTTTTTCAACTTATTGCGTTGTCGTATGACAGAACAGCACACGCGAGCTGGTATTGCCTTGTTTTGAGTGTACGTAGGGTAGACTTAAATTGAAGAAAGTCCGGAAATTCCAGATTCGTTCCTTGGACAGCATGCTGCCCATGCAGCTCAAGGATTTGACATTGGTGTGTGAGTGTGTGGTGGCCTTGTCCAGCTAAACCTTGCAGGCAAATTTCAGAGCTCAAAAGGGCAGGATGGTTTGATCTAAACCAGGGCTCTATGGTAACTTGGATTGATGAGGAGCATAGTGCGTTCCCTTTGTGTGCATTCAATTTTGTATTTTGCGCTTGTTGTTATTGTTGTTGTTGCTGCAGTCATTGTGCATGCAATAGTGGTGGTGGTAGTAGCAATTTATAGTACATCACCGATGCAGTAATATAAGATAATATAATATAAGATATATATATATATATTAGAAATATCAATGTTGAGTTTGCTTGTGCAAGTGTCATTGTTTGGGCTCCACAACCTCGTTGTTAGTTCAACGGGCGTGCCGCATACATACTCGGTAGCTAACTACTCCAAGAGCAAGCGGCAAGCGGGCAGAGATTGCATACAACGAAGAGGAGGGTCATGCGAATGGGATCGAATGGGTGCTCCAGGTCGTTGAATTGATGCTTTGGAACGGCAACGTGGAGCTTCTTACCCATATAGCGTTCGTCTTCGAACACCAGTTCAGCGGCAAGACCAATGTGCAGCTGTTCTCAGTTCAGATGCCCCATCAGGTTTTAGGCAACGTAGTGTTGCAAGAGCAGCAACAATATAATGTAGTAGACACTTGATGTTCAGGACGTCGTTCATTTCAATCGTTGCTTTGATTCGGAAAAGCCTGAATAGAGCGCAAACCGTTCCTCTCCGCAAGTCTTCAAGGCAAGTGCGCGTCAGCAGCCTTGCATTCAACATCCACGACTTCTCCCTGGTACGACGGGTGACGGGAGGGTGTGAGACGACGTGGACTTGTAAAGTGCATCCGGATGGGAGGAAACAAACAATTTCCTGACTAAAAAACCTCCAGAATTCGATACACCGATAGCGAACACATGCGATATAATGCGATATATGTATATTATCACGAAAGCCAGCCGATAGGCAAGGCTTGAGGTTCTTGCGCGAACGAAGTGAGTAAAGGGGGTGCGGGGGGGGGGCACGTTTGCAGAGCCTGGTGGGGGAGAGCGAAAAAAAGAGGTGGCCAGGAGGTAGTGAAAATGAGTAGCTTTTTGGGGTGTTGTGATGCAAGTGATGTAATGCACGGCGAGCTGTGCATCATTAGCATCACGAGGGCTTAGGAGGCCATGTAAATTGTCCTTAGGAGGCCAGTAAACTGTCCTTACTAGGGGTGGGAGTTCACTGTTCACGTCGATGAGAGGAAAGGGAAGACAAGGGGAGGGACGTGAAAAGTGGTTGGAGCTCACCCCATGCTTGAGAGCAGGAAAGAGAACAGATTGCAGTTGTGGGCAGGCTTAGCGTTGCTTGGGGGCGCCCTTTTTTAGCTGCCAGACTGAAGAGGGCACTCCCTATGCGGTGGGGGTTCAGGTGGATGCGCCAGGCACAGTGCAGCAGTGCCGGAAGGTTTTGAGTTGCTCGGGGGTTGTTGAGGGCAGGAGAGAGAACAGATTGCAGCGGGTCGGGTCAGAGTTGAATGATACTTTCTGTTTCTACCTCCTTCAGAGTGGCTCCGATGTCAACTTCACCACCTAAACGTATGCTTTGCCCGATGTTAGCCAATCACTTCATCTCGCGCGCTCCAGTGGCTGCAATATCAACTTCATGACTTCCAGCTACTCTTTCTCCACTCTACCCTCCAACACGCCCCTGACCCAAGACGACAAAGGCAGCCATGCCTGGGAGCGCCAGGCTAGCCCTAAGGGCACCCCCCTTGATGGCTTTTGACCCCTCCCTTCTCAGGTCTGTATATATGCATATTGTATATAATTATACATATACATGGTTCCATTTCCCTTGCCAATAAGAGCATTTTGATTCGATCCTTTCCTGCCGCCACTCAACCCCTCATGGTTGTCACAATTCCAGTATCTCGTATAACTTGCAAACGCTGCATACTGCCAGCTTCTTGACTGACCAAAGCAGCCAGTGAACTCAACTACGGCCCCAAGACCCTACTTGATCAGCAAGAAGGAACTGCGCGTGATTTGACTTCGATGTTATATATACAACAAAAACTGCAGATAACAGTAACAGAGTAACTACACTCGACTCAACACCTCCAACTCCATCCATGAGATTCCTTCAACGTGCTCTCCCAATGGGTTTGTGCCCAATGTCAATGCAGAGCATGATTGCGGTCAACCTTGCCAGGTGTCTTCCTACGTCCGGATTTTCACCTACATTGTGATCATCATTTGCTTTGTGTTTTTCTTCCGCTCACAGGCCGAGACGACAGACGAGCATGACCTGGAGTTTGCGGTGATATTTGCTTTACTTTCTTTATGTAAGTGAAAGGTATCAGCTTGGCCAGGCATGCAGTTCAAGGTGCATGCATGCCATGACGCCAAGTCTAGGAGTATGCAGGTGGGAGTTCATTCTTCTTGCCACAACTAATTATGCACAGTTTCTTAAGAGCTGGCGGCAGGTTGAGGATGTATCAGCTGACTACAGGCTGTATTTCTCTGAGCCTATGGGTTACATTCACTTAGCAACGATCCTTCTGTGCGCCTATGTTATAGTGTGCCCTGGCTACTGTTCAGATTTTCCTCTACATGCAAGGGTGGTTATTCCTGCCCCCCTTCCCCAGCTCAAGGGGTCCATTAAACGACATATTGTTAAGACATGTTAAGAACGGTTAAACGTTCATGCTTTTGGGCGTGCAGCACCCTGCTGTCTGGTACTGCGACCGATCAGAAGAATGTGTTTGTTTGCCGGTGCTATATAATGCTAATATCTTTGACTTCAGCAAAACGTGCTTTGCAACTCGTCGCTGAGGATTTATCTCACCATCATTTTTTCTTATGCCTTCCTGAACTTCAACTTGCCAATGGAAACCTCAGAGTTTGCAGACATTGCAGCAGCTTGGCACAAATAGAAACCAAGGGTGTATGCTTGCTGGTTGTCGCGTTGCCAACTCCAACTCAGGAGCTTACAATCAACAACCAGGACTTGAAAGTTGTTGTCTCCGTCATCACATGCTTGCTTTTTGTGCAGGCTGGGTGAATTAGCATATTGAATTGAACGCGCAAACAGCATTGTCGGGAGATGTTGGGAAGCAGGACTCTACAATGTAGCAGGATGGAGCAGTATGTCAGTTCCATGACGTTCTCGCAGGCAGTGGCCGAGTGCACCAGTTTGATTCCCCAACTGCGGCTTTTGGTGGATTCCATGGGCGTTATGCTGCTTGACGCAATGCCTTAGGTTTGTCATTTACAGATTCATGCGGGCAGTTGCCTGCAGTATCCTACTTTTGTAGAAGCACTTCAGAGAACACCCCTGGTTTTCGACTGCATGCTGTAGGGGTTTGCCAGGATGCGGGTTTGAATGCAGCAGGTGGAACCACTGCCAGTGGTCACACACAGCCCCGGCTTTTCGCGTGCTCACCATCCGTTGTAAGGAGCAATCATTTGGTGACTTTCTTCGTGGTGTTCTTCATAATGATTTTAGGTTTCAGCTTGGCTGGCATGTTCCTGTTGGGCTTCAACTTGAGCCAGTTCAGCAGCTTGGCACCAGAGCCCTCCCTTGATAGAAGGATTGATTCCTCAGTACGTGAGTATCATAAATCACCACGTTACACGTCTAGAGTCTAGAATTCACTACATGTAGAGTGCATATCACCCACATGTCCCTACGCATCGTAGCTCAGAGCACCACTCACAACGCATTGGATCGCAGCCGTGCTTTTGCACCTCCAGATAGCAACATGAAAACTTGACATAAACCAATAATTTACTTTGAAAAAAGAACGCAGCTGGATGTCCAGGTAGTCCAGCTCACAGCATCCTGACAGTGGTGGAGATGATCAGAGGGAAAGCGAGTCTCGGCAGTGAGACGCCCATGGCGTTCTGAGGAGTTTCCTGGGGTTCCCAGTGTTGAGAGGAAACTTGTCCCACCGTAGAGACAGGTCATCCTTCTAACTCTCCGGTAAGGCCTTGCAGGGCTCGCCCAGTCCCAATCAACATAATATAGATATTGAACGATATCAACGGGCAGTTCAGTTTATCAATTTGGAGAGCTGGGGATACATAGAATACTGAACACAACAGAAGAGTTAATATCGGACATGCTGAAAGGCAACGGGAATCACAGTGATTGCTTTATCACAACCGCCTGTCACCTGTCTCTACAGAAACCAGGGAGACCGATTGGAGATCGGGCCGTCTAGGACTCCGCCCGGACAGCTGGACAGGCACTTGTCGCAACGCTCCTAGTAGCGTCCTTGCTCCTAGTAGTAAGGCCAGGAACCCCTAGTAGCGTCCTTGCTCCTAGTAGTAAGGCCAGGAGCCCCTAGTAGCTTCTTGCTCCTAGTAGTAGCAAGGCCAGGAGCCCCTAGTAGCGTCCTTGCTCCTAGTAGTAGTAAGGCCAGGAGCCCCTAGTAGCGTCCTTGATCCCAGTAGAAAGGCCAGGAGCCCCTAGTAGCGTCCACTGTAGCGTCCTTGCTCCCAGTAGTGAGGCCAGGAGCCCCTAGTAGCGGTAGTAAGGCCAGGAGCCCCTAGTAGCGTCCTTGCTCCCAGTAGTAAGGCCAGGAGCCCTTAGTAGCGTCCTTGCTCCCCTTGTAGCGTGTTTGCTCCTAGTAGTGATGCCCTTTGCTCCTAGTAGCTTCTTGTTCCTAGTAGTATGGCCTTCCTTCTTATTTACCATTTGTCCCTAGATGTGCCTAGGGGCCTTTCGTGTACACTTTCTCGACTGTCGTGCGACCTGTGCATTATGTTTGTTCGTTTTGGCCTCGGGCCGAACTGGGAGGTGCTGATTGAGCATTTTTGAGTAGCCTCTTGCTTTTGGCATGCCTGCAGTGATTGCCAAGGTGATGTGCGAAATTTGGTGACCTACTCCTGCCCTTACTACTAGGAGCAAGGACGCTACTAGGGGCTCCTGGCCGTACTACTAGGAGCAAGGACGCTACTAGGGGCTCCTGGCCATCAGAATTCCAGGAGGGACCTCCCTGAGTGTGCGTTACAGTACATTTCCCCCCCTCCACCCCCTCACAACGTAGGAAGCATGTAGCTTACATTGTCCAAGGGCCCGCAGAGACACAGGGCAAACCACAAAGGGACCAAGTAGGAGAGCTAAAGGTGTTTAAAACAACATGAATGGTTTTCAAGGAATTTAACAAGAATCGGCGCAAAGAGAACAAACAAGTCTAGGAAACAAGATAGAAACCTTGTTTTCCGATTGTTTTGTGACCTTCTTTACCCCTTGTTTGCCTTTATAGCATTGCAAACATGCAAACTGCTGCAACCTGGGTGGGACGTGCGAAAATGTAATTTACATGTTCATACATTTTCGTATTCCCCCACCTACCTAAATGTAGCTTAACATTTTCCATGGTCACCTCTTCACTATAGGGGTATACAGTATAGGGATATTGCTTTTGGCAAATTGCAAAACAAGAAGACATTCAGTACAAGATGAAGCACGCAGATTCGCAGCCTTTGGATTTGTAGAGATTCTGTGGATGTAGCGATATACGGATGGGAAGACTCTCATGTACAAGAGGCTTCAAAGATTCTGACACATTGATCATGCCCTCAGGAATTATGATCTCATTGTGGAGGCGGACGATTCCTTCGGAGACGCCTACTTCCTTTTCTTCCAGTTCTTCTTCCTGATTTTTCAGCAGTGTCTTGCCAAATTATGCAGTTGCCTTTTCCGCTGGCGCTGCCAAGACAGCCTTGTTATTGAATTGACTACCTGCGCTAGAAAGAGTTCTTCGCTGCCTGGGCAGCCAAATCCTTTGGTTGAACTCCTCAACATAGTGTTTCGATGTTGTTCCTCCTCGGAACCCCCTTTTGAAGTAGTACCCTTTGACAGAAACAGATTCACGTACGGTTCAGACTGAGCAGTTCAGGTTCTTGTGCCCAAAGGAAGAACATGTTGGCCGGTGTTTTTTTCGGCCCAGGTTCCTGCTGACCATTCTGATGACTGGCTACTTGAAAGAGCGCAAGCGTCTTGCAGAGTCCGAGCAGGCGGGTGAGCCCATGCGATGGAGTGATTTTGCGGTCCAGTTGACGAAGGACGTATTTTTTCATCCTGCCAGCACCTTCCGCCTTCCAGATTTGATCATTGATTTTTTCAGCGCACTGAATCAGAGGGTGTTGATGCCAAACGATCATCCGTGGGTGCTCGGCTCGAGACGCATAGCCCAGCCATGTCAATCAAACTGCGGGAGCTCATACGAAGCATCCGTGCAGCCAAGACTGCAGCGGAGGACATAGCTGGCTGGATGCCGTTCCTGGAGCATGAAACATCATGAAACCATTATATACATATTGGATACTGAATACTTGCATCTCAAGCGCATAGCATATTCCAAGCAAGTGTTGCAGCACTTTTTTTTAAATGCAGTCATGTCATGTGCAGTCCATCCTGTAGATTCATAGACCTTTCTTCAGCCAGATGACAAGACAGCTTGCAGATTATCAGGGTTGCATTGACTTAAAAGGTTCATTCGACCGCGCGCAGATGAAGCGGGATTGTTTTGAAGTTCTCGCACGCATGGTGCGTTGTTCCAGTCAGAGCCCATGGGAATGTAACCCTCCCATTGCAGTCGTTGAGATTGATGTGACTGTAACTGACCGAGATTGCGGGACACTGTGACGCAAAGCACCAGACTCAGGGCCGGAGATGACAAGTGAGTATAAGTCTCGCTGTGTCATTTGCAGGAGCGTGCAGTCATTGCACGGGAATGTGCTTTGATCCGGACAGCGTTCAAGGAGCACTTAGGAAGTTTTTGATCAGCATGGATTCCACAAGCGAATCACAACACATTATCATATATAATTTTAGAACTCGAGCTCTCCACTCCACCACTTTAATTTTGAATTCCTTTTTGTTAGGGGCTAGGGGTGTTTGAACACAAAGACTGAAAGGCTTGTGGTCGGGAATGCTCGCCGTCAGGAGGATGACAATCAATTTCGACATCGAAATGTCGCAAAGCTGCTGTTCATCCACATGATGGGCTATCCGACCCACTTCGGGCAAATGGAATGCTTGAAATTAATTGCATCCAGCAAGTTCGCCGAGAAGCGTGTAGGCTATCTTGGCTTGACGCAGCTCCTAGATGAGAACACAGATGTCCTGATGCTTGTGACCAATTCTGTCAAACATGACATGAATCACGAGAATCAGTATGTCAACGGCTTGGCGCTATGTGCTTTGGGACCCTAAGCTGTTTGTATTTTTGTCCTTTGTTCGGTCGCAATTGTATCACAATGTCAATTGGTATGCTATTTGCGAGCAGCAAAGCCATTTCGATGTTCGGACTCTGATCCTAGGAAATATTGGAAGCAATGAGATGTGCAGGGCTTTGGCCAGGGAAGTTGAAAACATGTCGCTCGGATTTGGCTCAATTCAAGAGAAGTGTTATGCCTGTTATGCTGGAAAGTCGCAGGAACTCGGAAGGTTCTTGCTGGTGGGTCAAAGGGTCAAGGTTGCCAGCTTGTGTTGTATTCTGTGGCAAGGATGGCATCGCCAAATCCTTACTTGCGAAGCTTGGCAAAGCAGTTTGTTTGGAAAGCTGGGAAGTAGGCCCATCTCCCATTCTGCATGTTCCATCTCGATTGGCGGAAAACGTTGCTAGAATATGCTAGAATGAGGCAAAAAGGCTGCCCTGTGCGCCATGCGGATCGTGCGGAAGGTGGATGAAATCGAAGACAAATTCAACGGAAACTTGTCTCAATGTTTTGCAGTGTGCATCAGAATCATCCTTGTACACATCAAACCATCAAGGTCTGACAGCCGATGACAGCTGGTTCATGAATGTTGAATGCATAATTACCGACTTCTAGGTATTTAAAAGCAGTCGTGCGCTGGAGCATTATTACATGCAGATACAGATAGAATGCTCAAGTCTTGTTGTTTTGAGCTCTGAATTGGTTGGATGCCCTGTTTCAACTACTGTAGGAGAGCGAATGAAAGTGGGAAGCCTGCCTGCCCTTCTGAGGAAAGATTGGAAACTTGCTAGAAGACCGCCACCACGGTGTTCTTTTGGCAGGCTGCTCTTTGCTTACGACCCTTCTTGAGGCACGCGGCCCAGAGCATGGCTAAGTTATGGTCATTTTGATTCCTGCCTAATTAAGGTGAATCCGTCATACATCAAGGAATTTCGACGCCACATTCCATCGCTAGTCAGGGCCTTGAGAATCTTTGTCCAAAGCAAATCATTTTGCCGCCTGTTTCCCCCTGTAGAATGATAGAAATCAAAGAGAATCAAATCCACTACCATAATTTTTGCTGATGTTGTTTTTTCCGTCTCACGCTCGTTGCTTTTGGCTAGGAAACATGGTGACATCAGGGTACAGCAGCGCAGCAGAGTATGACATCGCAGGCATCACAGTTTCTCGTCATGCATTCATTACCCACCCCGCTTCATTGCAGGAACAGACTCATGGAGGCATAGATGTCATGGAGGCATGTGTACTGTATAAACCCTTTATAGATCTCGGATATCTCTCCTGTTTTCTAGTTTTCAGAGCTGTTCTACACTGCATTTCACTATCTCCACGCAGATGCCAGCGTTTAATGCATCCTAACGGGTGAAAAGGCAGCGGCGCATCAGTGATCCAAAACCAAACTTCGCATCTCCTCGGGCCAAGAACGCTACGTGAACACACACCTGGAGCAAATGCTATCACTCCCATCGCAAGAGCAACAAAACACCCACATACTAGTAACAAGTGCCACGCTACGAGGAACAGGTGCCTTACTAGTAGGAACAAGGACGCTAGTAGTAACAAAACACCCACATACTGTGTTTTCAGCCTTTGCGACCCGTTCTTGAAGTGGCCCGCTGTATTGACCTGTGCGTTGTAGCCAAGGACCCATTCTTGCAGGCAAAGATTCTGCGGCTCTTACGGATATTCGGAGAGCGTAACGTCGATGCGAGTGATGAGATGAATGATATTTTAGCACAAGTGGCGACAAACACCGAGGGTACGAAGAACACTGGCAACTCCATTCTTTATGAATGTGTGCTTACCATTATGTCCATCGAAGCTGAAAGTGGCTTGCGCGTCCTGGGGATCAACATTCTGGGGCGCTTTCTCCAAAGTCGGGACAACAATATTCGATATGTGGCCTGCCCTTTCTGGATAGGGATGGCCTTGTTTTTTTTGCAAGTCTTTATGGAATAAACACTTATGTTAGTTTGCACATTTGCCAAAACAAAAAGCAAAGACTTCACCGGAATCAAGCACAACTGAGGTTGCATTGGCTACCCTTCAGCGTGTCGTGAATGTTGACCAGCAGGTGATGCAGAGACATCGCAACACAATCATCGATTGCCTGAAGGATGCTGACATCTCCATTCGAAAGCGGGCATTAGATGTGACATATTCATTGATTGACGAGACAAACATCAAGAGTGACTTTGCACGCTTCAGGTTATTTAGCCTCAGCTTGTTGCTTTAGGCTTTGTTATCCCAATTCTTAAACACATAGCACAACGCAAGGTATGACAAAAGAGCTGCTCAACTACCTCCTCGTTGCCGAAACAGAATCTAGGTCATTTTAGTTACTGTAAGTTTCCCACTTTGAAGCCTCGCACGTTTCACAACAAGACTATATAAAGAAGTCCTTGGTCATCAGCTTGATCTATGCCAAATGCTGGAGGAAGTAGTGGTCCAAGAGTAGGCCCACTGAACAGTGTGACAGGTCTTATCAGTATGGATTGCATCTTGATCAAACATCGATTGAACACTTCAAGTGTCTGGAGCACTCTTGACACTTAGGATTTTAAGGAGGAGCTGTGCAGCAAGTTATGCATGGCTGTCGACAAGTTCTCTCCAAACCGGCAATGGCAGATTGATTCTGAGCTCAATGCTGGCTTTAGCAGTTGATGGGCTCTGAAGTGCAAGTTGTTCCTTAAGTTAAGGCAAGGTTGCGGCTGAAGACCCAAGAAGAAGAGTTTAAAGCACCAGCATGGTGCATATGCACACAAAGCACACTCGCCAAGGACACTTTGATAAAGATCATGTGCTTGGGTGGTAGCTACGTCAAGGCCGAATCAGCAGTCACGCTTTCAGTCAGACGTGCAGAACTTGTAACATCAACACCCTACCGTTTCTTCCCTGTGTTCTTTTCCGTGTCCCTTGTGGGCTTGGCTTCCATTGGAGGGAGTGTGATGCATCAGCCGGCTTACTTGTGCCAATGTGGTCTTGTGTGCTGGCCCCCATTGTACGTCGATGGCAGCCGTTCAAATTCTACTTGGGAGTCGCTGCATGGTACTTGGGTGTCGAACAATTTGTCGAAAGTTATTTTCCCTTGGAAGTGTGTGGCGCGACCCGACCAGGAGGAGCAGCGCGAGAAGTTCTGCAGAGTCGTGGCCGCAACTCCAGCGACTCGGAGCAAGGGACGGAAACGGCAGCTGCGAGGCCTTGTATTGCAGCCCTAGCTGTTTGCTTTTGTTCAACATGCTTGAGACAGAATGGGTTTTTGTATGTTTTTATTGCGTTTATCTGACTGGGCGTGCCTGCAAGGAACTGCATGCGTACACTGTCACCAAGCTCTATGCCAACATGAGGGAGAGCTTGTCCCAGGACGTCTGAAAACCAGCAGCTTATCCAGTTGCTCGTGCTTACCCAGCCACTGCCAGGAAGCTCTTGTCCATGTGGGTGTTTGGTGCCTGGGTGAGTTTGGAGATCTCTTGGTTTCTGGTAATGCAGTGGGGCCAGATGACCAGCCGATCTCGGTGAGTTCTGGCACCTGGGCAGTGAAATAGGCTGCCTTGATTTCAAGACTGCGGCTGGTGAGACCGAGGCTATCACAAGAACTTCCCTCTCCCTGCACGTATGGATATTGTATTGTGTACTGTATTCTATTATGTTTCTTTTTGCAAGTCCGATTCCTTGTTTGTCGGTGCAAGGTGCAGACCATTTTTCACCTTGGCACCTTTCACGTCGAGAGAATGCAAGCGAGGCAGGTCTGCGGATGTCTTTCCAAGGTGATGTTCTTGATCTTCTCTATGACGTTGTGCGGAAGCCGCCATCTGCCGAGAAGGCAGCAGCCACACATTGCCTCGTGGCAGCTGCGTTGATCAAGCTTGTGACCAGATGCCCCAGTGAGGCTGAGAAGATCAAGCGACTTGGACTTCACCTAGGTGGCTCGCCCCTGGTGACTTGAGTACTTGCTGTATACTCAGTACTTCTGACCCACTGACTATCAACATGAACTCTTGTAGCAATGCGAGCCTTGTGAACTTGGCTGAATTCCGAGAAACATCTCCCTAAATCAGCACTAGATTCAAATCTGCAAAATGTTTTACAATGTATTGATTTGACTTTAGTCGCATCAGATCAAAGGTCATTGCAGAGCATTTGCTTGTGTTGGCTATGGCAGAATGAGATTTTTGCGACTTTTACACCCACCCTGGACCTGTCAGTTTCAAACTGAGGAAGCTGTTGCGAAGATTTGACGCAAGTCTTCATGTAGACTTGCAGCAGCGCTCTTGTGAATTTCTTGAGCTTCTCCACTCAGAGTGGGATCCACATCGTGCAGGCTGTGGGGATCTGCGGGGTGTGCCGTGTATGATACGTGAAGCAGTATGACCATCGTCCAGTGCATGTATATAGCTCTTTCAGTTGCCTTTGCAGACTTGTGTCGTGTAGCATCCTGAGGATCAAAGATGATCAAAGGATAGACAGTCGGTGGGAAATGATGGCGACCAGTCGCCGATTTGTCGGTCCATGGCTTTGTCCTTACAATTGGGTAACTTAAGCTTAAGAGTTAGGTTACTTGATTCGTAAGCAGGGAACGCCACAAAAGAGAAACGACCAAGGTAATTCTCGGCTCTCGGAAAGTAGCATGGGGCTGGACATAGCTGGAGTATCTAAAGGCATTGTTCTACATCTTGAAGCAACACCCAAGAAAGTGGGAGTCAAAACGTTTATTGCAAAAGCTGCGCAGGTATTTTGGACCGGATGCCGGTTCCTGAAAAAGAGATTGGAGGAGCTGACAGCCGCGATCGTCCTGCGCCGGTTGGAGGAGCACCGACCGGTGGCAAAGACCTGTGCCATGGTGGCACATGAGGTACCTCGAGACAACACGTTGAGACCCTGTCGATTTTCCCACAAAACAGGTGCACCGATTTTGAACGGACCACCCAAATCATCAAACCTGACAAATGGGGATGTCAACTTACCATTGCCATAGTTCTAACCTTGCAGTAGATCCATACCCAAGCGCCACCAGAACTAACATTCATGTTTTGGTGTGCACAATGACATTTGCGCATGTTATAATATCATATATATAATATCTACATGATGTCCTGCTCGTTTCATCATTACTAATTTTTGGACCTAATTGACTTTTGATGTTGCACTGTCAGCGCCATGGCAAAAAGGAAGGTTTCCAGTACAGCATGTAACTTTTTCTGTCCAAATTTGGAGCGTCTCAGGGTTTCATTGTTTGCTTTGTCCCCTTGCTCTCTCGCCTCTCTCTTTCTCCTTTCTCGGAATCTCTCTCTCTCTCTCTCTTTTCGAGCTCACAGGCTGGACTTGAATGACTTGCTGGATGGACCTGCAGCACCCAGTGCAACTAGCAACGTGGTATCCACCCCAGCCTATCCTGCGTCTGGCGGTGGGGGCGATTTGCTGGATTTGTTGGATGGAGGTCAGGCTGCACAGTAACAAATCTGGGTTTAAATCGCTAAAACATAATATTAAACCATTTGTATGTATTATATTTAGATCAATACATATATATATATAAAGATGCAATTGTATAAATATTTGTATATATATATAATATATATCCGTGTATTGTATGTATTGTATGGTATGGGGTGGTACGGTATGTGAATGGCAATGGCAATGTAGTGTAGTGTAGTGATATGGAATGGTATGGTATGGTATGGTATGGTAATGTATGTATGATGTATGTATTGTATGTATGTATGTAATGTAATGTAATGTAATGTAATGTAATGTAATGTAATGTAATGCAATGGTATGTATGTATGTATGTATGTATGTATGTATGTATGTATGTATGTA